CGGTAGGTATATATGACGAAAAAGTTTTCTCGTATATCAAGGCGACGTCTGTGCGGAAAAAAGGAAGGCCCGCTCGCTCGCACGCGCGCGCGCGCGCGCGCCCGCATCCGCCACTGAGCGTCAAGTCGTGTGCGTGCCTGCGTGCGCGCGATGAATGAAAATCCAGCCAACGAGGTTTGCGCGAGAACTCTATTCTGAGAGAGAATCAAAAGAATGTGTCTAATCAAATAGAGTCGCGTATAGAGCATTCTACGAATATTTCAACCCCCGGGAGCACAAATCGCGTTTCGCATATTTAAAGAAAGTGTAACGTTATATATCACGTTAGTTGAAACGTTTATTATGTATTCACCGATAATTCGACATATGGCAATATTGGAAATCTTTCCTTTCCTCTCGTCCTTTGCATATTTAATTAAATATAATATTTAAACACGTAATTATCTTTCTCCCTCTTCCTCCCTTTTTCATCCTCCCCCTCCCCCCCCCTCTCTCTCTCTCTCTCTTTCTCTCCCGCTGTCTCTCTTTCAAACTGTATTAAAAGCATAATTCAATTTTCTGTATCTTTAATGATATTAGCTCAAGTAATTACATATTAATATGATATATAATAGAGTGCACGACTTGATTACGAATCGTATAGGATAACAAGTATTAGTTCATCATCAAACGAGATCACGTAACGCAATGTACTGGTGATGTGTTATCGCTTCTCCATTTTAAAAACAGAGAAAAAAATCGGCTCACTTATCACTCATCACTTATGCAACACAAAATCATATTAAGAGCTAGTATAGTATATCGCTCGTGAGAGACGTCGTTCAAAACACCCCGTTCTCTCACGGTCGATAGATTCGAAATATTTTCGCGAACGATATGATAATGCTTGGAAATGTGATGGTGAGTAAAATGAAGATATCAAATACTGTATTTTCTCATACATAACGTTCATATTATATCAATGATCGATCGGCGCGCTAAAAACGCAATTTATTTCATCAGCAATAACTCGAAAATTAAATGGAAATATGCATATTTTTCGTCATTTTTAAGCCCGTAATTGAAATATATTGATAAAGTACGAACAAATAATTTTTTTAAAACCCTAATACTATTACGTTTTTAAATAAAATACATGGTAATGTGAGAATTAATTATTAACTAAATATATATTAAAGAGAGAAAGAGAGAGAGAGAGAGAGAGAGAGAGAGAGAGAGAGAAAACGAGTAAGAGAGAGATTATTGCTGACACTTGTCACGCTGGTATATGGGACGTGCGAAAAAAGGAGGTGGAAGATGAGTGCTCGGACTCCGTAAGATATAGTTAGCAGTAGCCACATGGTATGTCTTATTCCGATAAAAAGTGCAACCACAGAGAATGACTTTTTGCTGGGGAGAAGGTTAAACGCGGCGAAGAGCCGAACGATCATCTCGAGGGAGTTACGTTTGGGGAGGGGGGTAGTTTTTTTTCCTTCTCTCGTGTAAAGGTTGACCTTACGCGTTTAAACGGTTCGTTAAGTTGATTCTCCCCGGTTAGATTTTCATTTAATTTAAGCGACAACGCCGGCGTCGTTTTTCAACGCCGTTCCGCGCGCGTCTCTCTCACTCTTCTTTGGCACTCGATGTCGCCGGTGGCGCTAACGAGCGTGTTTGGAATTTTGACAAATCTCGCGCTAGGATTTTGCCTTTCGCGCGCGCGCGACCCGGTAACAATGCAAACATCGTTATTCGTCTGTCACGCACATTAACGGTTTTATACCGAAAAGCCATTCCGCACGGCGCACCACCGCAGACACGCATTGCATTTTGCGCATTTGCGCATCTATGTGCATACCTATGTACCCGGGGTGATATACGCGCCCGAATACGTTTGCTATGCTTACCTCAAACTTATTACGGTTAACACACACCTACGTATACTAGGTATATCCGCTAACGTAATATCGCACGACATGCACAGTCCTATGTTTCTACATCGAGCACAACGATGCGCACACAAACGGTCTAATTTAATGGAGCAAAACGATAAAGCGATCTGCCATAAGCTCAATTCCTTCCCATCGTAAGCACTAAACAGCTGGAACAGAATAGGGATGGAGAAGAGGAAGGCGAGGGAAGGTATAGCGAGCACAGGAAGCGAGGAACGGGAGGAAAGGAGACGAATCGCGTTTGCTCAATTTCACCTGCGAGACCATCGAGGAACTGTCGCGCATCCCGCGATAGACGTTTACTGATGACCCGTCAAAAATTGATTTTCGCATTTTGCCCCCTGTCGATACGTGTTACCGCGCGCACACACTTCATCCCCACAAGTTCGACCGCCGTGTACACGCGTGATCCGGAAAACACGAGACACGGGAAACGTCGTGCACAATGCCAGCGTGTGAGGCATGTTGCTCGAGAAGTGTGTGTTTAAAAAAGATAGACAGAAAGAAAAGCAGAGAGAGAGAGAGAGAGAGAGAGAGAGAGAGAGAGAGAGAGAAAGAGAGGGAAGAGGGAAAAGACCAAGAAGGAACAACCCCATATGAGTTTATTGAGCCCAAAGTGGGTCCTGGACCCTAAATCTAAGTAGAGCATTTAATGATCTCTTTCGAATCCTACACGGAAAAAACGGTTTTGTTGAAAGGTCTAAAAATTTTGCTAAAAACAAATCTGAAAATAATTTTTTATTGAATCATCAAAATAATTGTTATTGAAATAGTTGTTGAAATGTTAAAACTGATAAATATTGCTATAAAACGTTTTGATATTCTAGCAATTATTTTGACTTTCGCACAAAATAATTTTGACTATTGAACAAAAATTATTTTCAGATCTGGATTCAGCAAAAGTGTTCTTTCCGTGTATACAACTTTTATTTAAAGCATTTTTTTATGCATTGTTTTTGTTATTTAGATGTCTATGCTAAAATAGTCAAACATATGTTTCGGCCGGATAAGTCGAATACAGAATTCATAAGATCCCAAGATTTGATTATCTAGAATACTTATTTCAAACATGATCTTTCGGTAACGTTAGTTTTTTGATATCACTTTTGTAATATAAAACGTTCCCTTGTGAGATGCTGTGCCAAAATGACCTTCGGAAAGCGACCTTTACCGCGAGAAGCTACTTACGCGGCAAGACTTAACGACTTCGCCCGCGGTTAAAGCTATACGCCGCGCAATTAATTCCCTAAGTTCCCGTCGGCAAGCAAATCGATGCAAATCCTTGAACAAAATCCCTTACGACGCGTCGCTCCTCGTAATAACTCCGTCCAACATCGAATTTGCCTATCCAAACCACCGTTAAAAGCGCGACTACGACTCGAATCCCGGCTGACCCAATGTCGATGATTAACATCGTTTTCGATCAATGAAGGAATCGAATCAAAGCCATACATTGAAATTCATACAAGTTCTACGCATTGTACAGATTGATTAGCCAATGAATATTTATGCTGGCGTGTATGATTGCTTCTATAATTGTCGTCAAATAGTTTTCATCCATTTTGGGACAGTCTCCTCGCTTAAGCCTTAAATTAAGTAAGACATATCAGAGAGGATGTATATCTAAAGAAAAAAAGGAAATCGTTAAAAGACCAAAAACGAAGAGCGAAGGAGCATTGAAAGTCAAGCAAGGAAATAGTTACGGTTTCAAAAATTCTGATCGCAAGCTACAATTTTTGGAAAAAAAGAAGCGGAACGGGAAGCTCGAATTATTGGAAATCTGTGTATGAATGAAGATCGGGAAATAAGCATGAGCAAGCAACTTTGCGAGTTCAAACCCCTGATTCGATCTCTTGATGGAACATCGATATCGGACGTTTGCGATAGACTCGCCATTCAAAACATTCCACGTTATGCCAATTAAAATCATGATTCTCGCTTGATCATGTTATTAATAACGATAACGGTTTGTTCTTTTATTACGAGTGCGGTATCCGAAAATGTCTTTACTACTTCCACGGTTTACTTGACAAGCATCACAATCACGACACTCAGAGAGTCTCACGCGGCCTTATCAAAAGTGGGAATCATTCGACGAAATATTAAATCGCTCCGAGAGATATTTTCCGGTATACGGAACAGCGTAAAATCTAAAGAAATTTTTATTAACAAAATTACGAGCATGTGACGATTGTATAGAAATCGAGACTACGGAAGAGACTTTTCTACAATTTCGTGCGACGTAGTCGTGCGCGAAGACGCGTCACGTGGTCTGTGACCGTGATTTAAGCACGGTGACAGCGTGGATGAAAAAATAGTTCCGTCGTTATTTTCTAAGCCGGTCGTAAGATTCCTCAGGTCGCGCGAATCCGGGATTCTTGTTTTCGAAAAGTCGGAAAGTCATGGGACAGCGGGAGGGGAGAGAAGCGGGAGCGATGAAGCGGACGAAACGAGGTTTACTTCGATGGAAAGCGCGAGGAGAGCGCGAGGAGATGCCGTTGAGGCAGCTTTTCTTCTTCCGTGAGACGAAAAACGCGCGCCGCGCGAGTCGGCGAGGAGATGAAAGAAAGGGTGGCGAATTCAAGCGAGCAAACGGGCAATAAAATTCATCTTGAAAACCTTTCGCGCGAAACCTTGTCTATTTCCATTTGTGTCGGAAGTCAGCAGGAAGACGGAGAAACAACGTTTCAAATTCATAGCGTCGGCCACGCGCGCGCAAGTCGCTATTGCGAATTCTTTCAATCGTCGGAAACTCGAGGAACGAGAATCCAATGAAACGCGCGCGCGCGTCTCGTATACGATTTTTACACGCCGTCGGGATTTCTCTTTACTTCCGTCAAGATTTGTTACTCTCTACTATACCGGGGCGACCGGAAACGCAAAATAAATACAAGGAAAATTGTTGTGCAAAAGCGGAGACGAGCGATCGCTTAAATTATTCCTTGTGGGAGATATGTATCAGGACTTTTTTATCCGTGTTAAACAAATCGCGAGACGATCATAAAGAAAGAAAAAGAGAGAGAGAGAGACTCGCATTCTTCTACGCGAGTCTCCTCGTGATGTAAAATTTACCTTGTGGAAACGCGGAGCGCGCGACGCCGTGCACGACGCCGTCGATGCCGACGAATATGAGTAGCGGTGCCAGGGCAGCGAGCATCGGGACCGTCCTGGAACGCGCGGCATTCGCACCGCCGCCGCGGGCCTGCAGCGTCATTCCTGTTCCCCGGCGCACTCGCGCGATCTCCGATCGCGCTTCTCCCGGGTGCAATGTCCTATATCACCCGCGATCTTGCTCTTCCCACGCGATTGGTCCACGATTAGCGCACCTGGTGTCGCCTGGAGCGCCTTCTGCGCGCCTGGCACGTGCTCCGTGCAGCTCCCGGCCGAGCGCCTCCGCTCATCTCCGTGCGTTCGTGCGCGTACCACGGGACACCGTCCTGGCGCCGACGGCACCGTCGCAGAGCGTGACACGCCGGTACAACGGCTCGGCACGCATCGGCACGGTGCGAATGTTCAAGGTCACGAACGCGCCGTCCGCGAAGGGTGAAACTACGTTGAGAATGAAAGACAGAGAGAGAGAAAGATAAAAAGAGAGAGATAGAGAGAGAGAAAGAGAAAGAGAGGGAGAGAAAGAGTAGGAGAGAGAAGTAGAGGCAGAGCAAGAAGGAGAAACACTCCGGTAAACGTAAGAGAGGATCCACCAAGAGACCTCGCACCCCTTCTCCCGAGGCCTGGTCCTGGTCCCTCTGTCCCGGGCCGTAGACTGCTGCCTGGAAACCCTCGGCGTACGGAGTACGCTCGTGCCTCCACCACCCCTCCCCCGTCCCGCGCCGCGCAAGCACCCGGACTCCGCGTCCCGTCCCGCGACTCGCCGCCGATAAACTTCCTACGGGTACCCTCCGATACTCTCTCTCCCGCTCTCACTCCCTCTCTCTTTCCTTCTCTCTCCCTCCATCTCTTTCACTTTCTCTCTCTAACTCTCTATCTCTCTCTCTTCTCTCCCTCTTCGTTGTGCAGCCCGCACCAGGAACGGTCTAGCGGCGCTTGCGCCCTCGTAACCGTGCCCTGATGCCCGGGCACTGCCGCTGCCACTGCTGCTGCCTCTGCCTCTACCTCTACCTCTGCTTCTGCCGCTTCCTCCGCTACCTTGGCGAATCTCTCTTCCGTCTGTCTCTCTCCCCGCGACTCGACCGGCTGTTTCTTCCCTCCTTGTCGGTAGCCCTTCGAGCGCGCGGGGGAGACCCTACCGGTGGTGTAGCTCCCGCGACCTCCCGCCTTTCCCTCTTTCTTTTTCGCTCTTTCGACAACTCCGGCCCCTACTCGGTATCCCGAATTTCTTTCCACGGACCATCCTGGCGTAACTCGCTCGCTCACCGAAACGCTCGCGTCTCTCTCGGGGATCTTAGCTTCGTGTACCCGGGGGTGCCTACAGCCGCCGCCGCCGCCGCCGCCGCCGCCGCTGCCGCGCGGGATCTCTCTCTATATACCGACGATCGTCGATGACGGGTTTATAAGGATGACAATTGCGATTGTTCGAGTATTTAGCCGGGTACAATCGCTGTTAGGGGGAAAACCCGGTCCCGGATAGCTCGCGGGGATCTCCCCGGAAACCTGTGTCCACCTGCCGAGTATCTCGCCGCCGCGCCGCCGCGCCCGCCGCACCGTTGTCTTCGCCCGGGACGCCACTTAATTCCTAGATATTGTCCCCCGGAATTGCGAGTTACGATAACCACGCGACCGAAGTCGACAGCGTGTATCGCCGAAATAATACTTTCACTGGATTAAGCGCTACCTAATTCATTTTATCTCTTACGTGCTGATCGTGCGCCGAGTGTCTAGCCCCTGAAAAAAAAAAAACGACTCCCACGACGATCAGCCGTAATTCTGTCGCGGGTAATAAAGAAACAACTTTGTACGCGCTGTACCAATGGCAACGATATATAAATCCCCGCGATGGATATTACTTTTTTAGAATACGAAATAAATTTCTTCGGTGTAACGGAGGCACGCCGTCCCACGGGAGTAATTTTAAACTAGTAACATAAGAACGCAAAAAAAATTAACATGGGAGCGGTAAAAACAGTTGTGACAGCGGCGTTTATATACCGATTCGTTATAATATATTTCGAGTTTAATGAAAATATTCGCAAACATCTGTCTATTTTGAACTAAATATTTTACGCGTGTCGTACCGTGGCGACAACGTTATACGGAACTAAATCCGTATATGCAAAAACAGCGAACAAAAATGTAAGCGTGACAAAAATAATTCTAATCTTATTTCTATGTTTGGCTGAAAAAAATACAAAATATTCTGACAAAATTTCATCGTTAATGAAATTTCACTACGAATGGAAAACGCGGCGTGTCACTACTCTCTTTTTTTATTTGTAAAAACAGAAAATATGCGGGTCTTTGCGATATAATTTGACAGATGAGAAGGATATAACTCTTTCTATAATTGTAAAAAAAATCATAATCCTTTTCGAGTGAATTATAATAATAACAGCGGTTGTGCGCAATATATAATTTCTCTTTGTTCTAAAAGTTTTTATTTATCCACTGTAACAGAAAGAAAATATCAGATCAATATAAAACTATATATGGAAATGGTGTCACAGTAGGTTTTTTTTCTAGACAACGCTATTGACAAAATGATCGCGACCGGGACTGGCCGAAACGTCGTCGTCGCGATACTTCTTTCGTCGGCCGTTGAGTTTATTCCATTTGTTAATCCTCTATCATTTCGTTCGATCTCCTTCCGGATTATCCCGGCTTTATCCCGACGTGGCTTGTCCATGCGGTAGCGAGAATCGCGGAGAGAGCCGTGACTCCGCGCGCGCGAGAACTAGGCATATATCCAAAGGGATCGCGAACCCTACCACCGAACCCGCTGTTAGCAAAGAGCAAAAGAGCGAAGGGGGATGGTCGGAGGAGGAGGAGGAGAAGGAGGGTCGGTCGAGAGACGAATCTGAGCTGACGCTACGAGAATACGGGAGGCGGAATTTAGAATGATAGAAGTGATTGTCCTGAAATTACGAGGTACGATCCTCCGGCGCGTCGTTGGCAGATCCGAAACGTCTGCGAACATGTCGCGAACGAAAACGGGGAGGCGGGGAGGAAGGGAAAAAAGAGGCAGCTGGGCGAGGAAAGCGGAAGGAAAGGTACCAAAGTAATTGACTTTGAGATTCGACTTGAATCCACCCTGCAGGAGGAGGACAAATCGGAGAGTGTCGAAATGTCAATATTTGTCGCGCCCGTTTTATCACGCGAGCTGTCATATTTCCGAAATCTCTCAATGGACGGGAGATGCGCGCGCGCGCGCGCGGGGCTGGATATATTGATTTTGTTTATAGACAAAGCTGTTTTTGTCATGTCTCTGTTACGCGCGGCGCGTCAAATTCGGACGAATTTCGAGTTCGCGCTTCCGACAGGCGGGTTCCGAAATCTCGGGGCAGGGACAAACGACGCACCCGCCGCCCTGGCCCTCCCCCGGTCGCATCGGTGACTTCAATGTGCGTTAATTAATCGCAAACGAACTCGTGGCGTCGTCGTGACGATTAATCGGCGGCGTAATGTAGCCCTAATTAATCGCGGGCAGGTGACTCGTATCGCGCATTATTACTCACGAATAAACGTGTCCCCCCCCCCCCCTCGTCGATTATAACGTGTATTAATGATCTCATATATTAGGAACAAGGGGCGTGGGGAGAGGGGGGAGGGGAGGCGCGCGTTTCTGTGTGAAATGACGACTGTTTGCGCGCCACGCGCGCGCGCTACACGCTTCTCCGAGTCTTTAAATACCCATCGCCGACTCTGTAATATGCAACGACGAAGTTTATATCTCGGATGATCAGTCTCGGATGATCGGTGTTAACGAGGTTTGTTACAATGGAGAGCACAAGCTCTCCGCTAAGACGACTGACTGGGGAGGGAGGGAGGGAGGGAGGGGGGGGAGGAAGGAATGGAGTATTAAGGCTTGTAGCGAGAGATGCCATGGTGATTGTTCCGAAATTACGACGGAACCATCGTTAACTCCTACTTGCGACAGGAGGGGGGAGGGGTCTCTCCTTCCGCGCTGATTAACTTTTAACGGTCTTAGATTAAGCTCCTCCACACACACACACATATAGTATCGCCCTCCGTTACGTCTCCGTCCTTAATTGTATATCTAATTCCTTCCCTCACTCCCCCACCGTTACATGTTTACGAATATATTTATTAACATGTCGTATCGTAAAGCGCTGAAAAAAAGTAAGCTGATAAGCTGGGATTAAAGCATTGGGTTTTATGATTTATGCTTATTAGTACCAGCGCGCGCGGGCGCGCTACCAAGGAAAGCGTCACACGCGATTCGAATAAAATGAGCGCGGCAGAAAGGTCGAATGGAAAACGTTAATAAGCTTACAGGATAAAACGTAATACCTGTTGTATTAGGCCGCCGCAAGAGGTATAATAAAGCACCACACGCGTTCGAACACACGCTCGAAACATTATTTCTTCTAATATTGTATTCTCGAGTTGCACGAATGTTTCCTTGAAATATTTGGGAAGAAAAAAGAAAAGTGGAATATGTTTCGTGTACACGAAGAGAGAAGAGGGGGTGGGGGAGGAGGAGGAAGTGGTTTCGGGTTACACGTTTACGTGATAAACGTTTCCGTTGGAAACTCCTGGCGGCAAAACGCGCGCGGTCGTACCTATTTAGCCGCCGCGATTGTATATTCGAGCGATATTTCGAGCATATAATTAACAGATGATGCCGCCGCAACGTGCGAGAGCAATTAATCGTGCAGGCGTCACGCAACACGGGTGAACCGGCCTGATTAACCTCTCCGTTCGCGTCGAGGCGAAAACGTTGCATTTCTAACTATCAGAGAGACACACCAGGATGGCCGATTCGAGACTAATGGACTTCTGGAGCAATGAGCCGTTAGTAATTGATCGGAGCGTCAGGAGCGAGTTGTAAGCGAGTCGGTAAAGCGATGTCTACAATAAGACTTAAGACTTAAGAAAACTGACCAATCATAGTCGATTATTTATCTACGTGAGAAGAATAATCGATTGTTATTGATCAATTTTCTTAAATCTTAAGTCTTAAGTCTCATTGTAAACGACGCTTAAGGGGCTTTCTACAATAAGCCGTTAGTCACTACTCACATCATACTAACTAAGAATTGACCAATCATAGTCGAATATTTTTCTTACATTCAACTGTGATTGGTCAATTCTTACGATTTACGGCTTACGATCTGATATACGACGTATTGTAGACAGCCCCTTAAGACTGAGGGGTTTTCTACAATAAGCCGTTAGTCACTACTCATATCATACTAGTGATAAGTCAGAATTATAAGTCACAAATCTTAGGAAATTTGCATCCACAATAA